ATGGTGGTGAATCTTGGTACGCTGGTATATGATGCACTCATGCGACCATGTTAGCGCGTCCTTCCAGATGCCAGGCCAAAGAAACTTCACCCGCAATTTTTCTTCTCGTCTCTATGTTGCTTGGATAAGCTGAACCGTGGATAACTATCGAAGGCTGTCTTCCAAAGGGCTGGAGGGCGAGAACGAGCGTATTACTCCAGTCGTATTATCCTAGAAGAAATTATACCCATCAATTTCGATCGACTCAAGAGTGAGCGAGGAGAGGTTCTCACCAATACGTGCCATCCCGTATTCGGCCTGCGTTTCGCTGATGGCCTGAGTGTCGATCTTGGTCGACATGTTGATGGTGCAGATTCTGGCATCAGCCACGACGTTCTCTTCATCAGAAATGTGTATTATAAACATGTAGAATTATCCAATGTAGTCTAGTTGGAGAGATTGGCGGAGAAAGGATTTCTTGGGTTGCTGCTGGAACACCTTGAAAAAAGGCTTATGGTCTGTTCGAATCATGAATGCTTTGCCCTTCACGATGTGGGCAAAGTGCTAAAGCGTCGCAAAGATGGCGAGTATAGGCTGTAGTTACGCTCAGTCCGAGACAGTTTTTTCGAGAAAAACCCAACGGGAAGGCACTTTTCGTCAACGTGCTGTTCCAGGTATCCGCTAATAGCCATGGCCGAGACATCGGCCGTCAGAATAACTGTTCCGCTCGAATGCAAAAGTGCAAAGCACGTAACCTCGACGAGGGACCTATTGATATCCTCAACGGCGGTAGCAAGTTTCGGCGTCCATTCTACGATGACCGTCTCCTGCTTCTCAGTGCTTTTCGCACTCTCGTTGAGCAGTGCTTGTGACTCGGCAGCGTGCGAAATGAGGGCTCTAAAATAGTTTGCCGCTCCTAGAAAGCTCTTCAACTTATAGATAATCGAAAGCCTTAGAATCTCCAGGATCGCTTCCACCTTTCTTGAAGACGACTTAAAACCTTGGGCATTAATCCGAAAGCCGAGAAATGTTACCTTATCCTTGGTGAATTGGCACTTTTATCAGCTTACTTTGGGACTGTTAGTAAATGAGATGTCGAATACTGCTTGTAGGTGTACCAAATGCTCCTGCAAGTTATCTGAGGCGTCGAGTAGATTATTCAGGTAGCAAGAGATGAATTCCAGGCAATCAAGGATGCCATCCATGTATCGCTGAAACGTCTGGGTGGCGTTCTTGAGAGACCGAGAGATATCCCTACGAACTCAAATAGTTCAAATACAGTGGTGATGGCATTTTTGGGGATGTTCTCTCGAGCTACCGGGATTTGGAAGTACGTTCGTTTCAGATCTATATTTGAAAAGATGAGTCCACCATGTAACTGCAGCAATAGATCGTAAATCAAAGAGATTGGATAACGATCGAGCGAAGTCTGGGTATTTAAGCTTCTATAATCTCCCGTCGGTCGGAGGTTTCCTTGACAACTTCTAGCTTTCACATAGTATCTGACGAGGTCTAGCGAACACCGCGGGACCGGCGGTGATGATGTGGTGCTGCGTAGATGCTGTTGATCCAGTGAAAAGACCTTTCTTGGCCAGAAAACGCTTAAAATTAGCTCCTATGAGCTTTTCAACATTTTTTCTGCGCCTGCACTGGCGCGTAAAGGCGACATAGCAACAACGGAGCGACTTAAACCTGGTTAATATCGCCAGCAGTTGCTAGGAAAGTTGTCTCGTCAACCAGCTTTCGTTGTCTCAGGGCAGGCAGAAGGCAGTATTAAGTTGAGGAATCAGTGCTCAGTATTGGAATTTTTACCTCCACAAGGAGATAAATGACCAGATAAATGGACTGTGAACTCCTAGGTCTAACTAAAAGACCCTACGATTTCGAGTGCGGATCGATAATCCATTGGCGGCAGTGAGATTCGTGTCTGGTTCGGTCTTGGCGCTCTAATCGTTGCACGGTAGAATGGACACTATTATTATAAAAAATATTATTAAAAAAAATATATAAAAAATACGTTGCTTGGTCCTGGACGATAAACCGATTCTCCCTCCATGACCTTCCAGCGGGTATCTGGACGACGGTTGAGCTGCTGCCTGTCACTGGCGCAGGTAGCAGCCTTATTGGTTTCCCGATTGCCATTGCTGTTAGTCGTTGAATTAGTAAGGAAGGTTGCAGCGCGTGGCTCTTCGCTTGAGTGTGACCTTGTCCGGAAGATAGAGCGATTCCGTTGCCGAGTGGTGTCTTAACCTCCTTGCGCCCTGGGCTGATGGACTGCTTCCACTACACGTTTAGGTAGGTCTCTAATTGCCGAGATTAGCTGGATAAGCAGCAATTTTAATTCCACCAGGTCAGAGGACCGGTTGTGCACTGCTGCTGCACTCAGTTGTTGGTTCACAGCGAGCACGGGCGGCGCAGGGGGTGATCTCCACGATCGTGTCAGCAGTACTAAACAGCTCGTCCATGCTGCTAGCACTAAATATTTCCAGAATATTCTGGACTTTGGGAGCTAATTCTGAGCCCGTTGAAACGAAACCATAATTCTATAAAGCTAAGCCATATACCTATAAGACTTCTTGGTCTCAAGCTCGAAGTAATTGAGCAGCGTTTCTAGCTTCTTATCGGTGGTGATGCTAAAACACTTGAACAACCAGACTTTGAGGGTTGAGTATTTGTCTGCCTCGGGCTCTGCCTTGACGATGTTAGTGATGTTTCTGAGCGCCGCGATATTAAATGCGCCGATCGTCAGGGGTTATTTAGAGTTATCTCAGCGGATTCCAAGAACCTGAAAAACAGATTTGATTTTTATAAACCACAACTCTAGCTTCTCCGACCAGAACGGCAAGTTTGCAGATGCAGATTGTAACGACATTGCTCACTAGGACTCCTTCCACATTTTTTCCCTGTATAGAGCTTTCGTTTCGCAGTTGCCGGGAGCCTGGACCTCGATACTATGGGTTGCTCCGTAGGGTACCTGACGGTGACATCAAGATCACCAGAGTGATCTCAAAGGAGTGAGTCGTCCACTGGCACATCTTTGTCTGAAGTTGAGTGAAGCAATGCTTGGCATCGAGTACGTCTTACCGTTGGGCACGCTTACACGAATCTCAGCATTGCGCCGAATGTGGTATCGAATGAGCAAGCGGGCCAAAATCTGAACGCCTTGCTGATTCATGCGAAATTGAAAAAAATTCTCAGCGAGAAAATTTCTGAATGAAAAAAGAAAAATGCGCAAGAAAAATGAAAAGTTCCTTTCGTAAAACCCGAGGTAGAACTCGTTTGGACATGTATTTCCTCAAAAACAACGGATTAACACAGTACGAGGTTAACGAAATTTTTAGCGTCCGACCATAGAAAAAGGAGTCAGTTCTATGTCCGAAAACTAATGATTTATTATTTGACAATGTCTATAGAAAGTTGCAGACCTATAGCTGTTCACAAGCTGTTCACGATTTCTTGAACGTTTCCTTTTGCCATAAGGTCAAGCCATAGTAAAAGTTAGTCAAACATCTATTAGAGTAAACTGGTTCCCGGTTCAATAAACTAATGTCAATAGCTCTCAATCAAGAATTCATTTAAATTCAGCTTATTGCCTCACAAAGTGTACCTCAGCCAACAATATCCAGCGAGTTGTATTTATAATTCTTAGTTTTGGTTATTGGATACCCTCTAGCCTACTATTTTTCTTTACAGCGTTGATATTAAAACTAGTAAATGTACCTATTCGCGCTCTATCGCATCCCCGTGTATTCTAAATGATTTGAGCTAGTCATTTGAATAAGCTCTGTAACGAGTGTCACTCGTTAAAGGTGTAACCTAAGCGCCCCTATCGCGTGGAGCTACGTAAAAGCCGGTCCGCAGAAACAAACCCGAGGAGGAGAAGCGCCCGCGAGACGAACGAGCGAAGGAGCGAGAGAAAGGAGAGAGATTAGGGCGCCGACTGGCGCGAGTCAGGCGCGCGTACCGCGGGACATTAGGAATAATAGGAAGGGGAAAGAGAGCGATCAGGCCGCCGGCCGGCGTGCGCGCGACAACGGAGGAGGGAATGGGTAGAGTTAGTCAAGTCCGGACCTGCGGATAGGAAGAACGCAAGTGTCAAGTGATCAAGTCAGTGAAGTTCGAGGGGCAACCTGGCCGATAGCATACGAAGACCCAGTGGCCCAGAGGTCGCCAAGAAATCATCTCTCAGACAAAGGTCGTTCGCTGCCCACTATCAGTTGCCCAGAGCGATCTGAGGCAACAGTCGAGGGTCGCGGGCAACTGCAGATTCGGGCAGCGAAAGCCCCGACTGAGAGGTCCCTCACCGAGAAGTGGCAGGAGCCAACGCGATCCGTGCACACCGTCAGAGCTACTCGATCTTCAGCGACTTGTCCTCGCAGCGTAAGTCCCCGACTTTAAATGTAAATGCGTGCGGACGGAAAGTGCGATTAGATAGTGCGTCTTCTTTCTCTCTCTCGTCGCGCGCGGGACACTCGACAAAACCTCTCGGCCGCGGTGTTACGATTGTAAGATTGAAGTGACAGACGTAAATAAAGATATTGATTCTTCCGACAACCGACTGAGAGTTCTTTCTTCCGAATCCCCACTGGTTGTTCCCTCTTCACGCCCATGACAGAACCTGCCCGACCTTGAGTCACTGGGCAACCCGGATCTCCGCATGTGTCCTGCACGTGTGAGTTTTCACGGGCTCTGGGGCGGAAGATCTGAAGATCGACGCCGTTCGAACGAGCTGAATTGAGGCGGCGGATAGCCTCGCGACGCTGGGGACAGTTTTTCCTTAACGGGTAAGATTCGCGCCCCGAATGAAATATCCCGTTACAGCTCTTACTTGCAATATAGTTTTGAAGGTCAACTGCGAAGATTCCACGAAATATATAAGCTCACGAATGTCCACGTTATATGGTTACTTACAATTAGTGATTTTTTAACATAAAATTTATACTGCAAATAATTATCTATGTCTTAAATTATAAGTTATATTCTAATATCAAATCACTATAATATGAATCAAATTTTTTCAGGTTAGTTAAAGATGACTATGCATATCATTTGTATTACTCATGTGATAATTCCAAAGAGTATCATGAGTATGAATTACAATATCTAGAAGTGGATGAAGAATTTGTGCCTGCCATACAAAAACTTTATCAGAAATTTCCGCATTATATTAGGGTAAAAACTCTGCCAATTAATGAAACAGATAAGAAGGTAGTATCGAAGGGTACCGTTTTACTAAAAATAACTGATTTTCTTTAACGTATTTTTTATTTTTTTTTAGATTCAAATAGTTCGAGATTTATGGGAAAAAGGTATCATTATTGCGAAAGTTTCTATCGCTGATTGAATGAATAATGTCAGGATTAAAGAAAATTTATGATACAAATATTAAAAAATTAAAAAATAATAAGTAAATAATTGTTTACTATACAATTAAATTATTCGTCAATATTTAATATAAATTTCCAATCACCATTTTTTACTTTATGAATGACATCCACAACACCAATATCATCCAAAATTTGTGCGTTGAAATATACTTTTCAAAACCTTTAAAAAACAAGTTACTTACTGTAACGATCACATGGTAGTACAATTAACAGCATTAAATGTTTTACCAATATTACCTTAAAATGAAAGTTCATTTTCTTTTACTTATGGATTTTACTCAAACTTTTTGAATTCTATATAACCTACAACTTCTTATGAAATAATTAGATGTATATGTTAGTGATTATGCTAATTGTTAATTATATTAAGCATAGTATAGTTCTGTAATAATAAATTAGTTATAAAACAAACATACTGGTAAGAGGATGTTGAACGTACATATTATATTGTACAATGGTAATGTTAAGAATGGGACGTGTGTTGATGTTTTAAACAAAGCGCACAACTCAACTATAAATATATATACGCCTTACCCTACAGACTATGTCACATGATGAAAATGAGCTAGCGGACAAGTGACATTTGTCCTATTTCACTTGATCAATTCCGACCTACGTAGAGAAATGTAATCCTAAAATAATTTTTGTATATTATATCCATGTTTATTTACAATCTGCCTCGCATATTGAGACAATAAGTAAACTTGATCACAATTTAGCAAAAGAAGAATATACATGATGATTAATCTTTATTTTACAAGATGCTTATAAAATTATAATTTATTTATTTATGTGCTTAGTATTTTATGTTTCTTTCATCTGGTATTTGTAATGGATGTCTTGAGTAGCATGATGATAAGTTTATTCGAGTGACTTTGAAGTCTGGAATTATAATTTTCGTAGAATGCTTTATTTTCTTTTTTAACTGATGGAACTTGTAGATCATTTCTAATCATTTCATTAATAACAAACAAAGGGGCCCGTACTATACTAGGTAGCACTTTCGATTAAAATCTTTCAATTATTTCTATATTCGAGCTTGCAACAGCACCCTATAGCTAAATACCATAAGTTCAAATTGGTTTGAGTATAGCTTTATATAGCAGTAGCTTGTTTTTTATTGACAGCTCCGATTTTCTTTCCATGAACCAGTACATTCTCCTCCATTTCATACCTAATTGTTTGCGTTTAGTAAAAATGTATTTTTTCTATATGTCTTCGGTCTAGGTGAATACCTCAGTATTTTACTTGGTTACTTTTTAGGATGTATTGTTGTTTAGCCTAATAGGTGGGCAGATGGGTATCTTTTCGAAGTGTAAACGTTATATGTATTGATTTACTTTCATTTACTCATATTCTGCAGGAGTTTAACCATCTTTAAAGATGGTTATTTGTATATTTTTGTAATTTTTGTGATGCAATTGTTGGTTCAGAGTATGTTGTTAGAGTTCCTATGTCATTTACATATGTTACTGTTTAATTGTTTATGGATTTTGGTAGATCCGAGGTACATAGCAAATGAAGTGTTGAACCAAGAACATTACCCTGTAGTACTCATGCTTTTATAAGCTGGCGTTTTGATTTATTTTAATCTGAAATACTCCGTTCTTTTTATTATTATTGGGTTAATTTCGGCTAGGATTAATTTTTCAATGATTTTGAATAATATTGGTAGTAGGCTAATCAATCTATATGAGATCGCAAGTTCTGGTTCTTTACCAGGTTTAGGAATCAAGATAATCTCTGCTATTTTCCACTGTGTAGGAAAATAGCGCACACGTAAGCATACATTAAAAATGATTTTTAGGGCCTGCAATGGCTCGGTCGGTAAAGCGATGGACTCGCACCCGGTTGGTCCGGGTTTGATTCCCAGTCCCTGCTGATTGATACAAGCACCACTGAACTAAGTTTTATGTGCTTTGTTCTCAAACACATTGCAAGCTTCCGTCGCTGATTAGCACTGATGGAGCATAAAGAGAGCGACGTTAAATAAAATTTAAAAAAATAATTGTTAGTTATGAACCTCATTTCTATTATGGGTAACATTTTAATTATTTTGCCTATTTTATTTATTTTGGACCTCTGGAGTTTTCAATAGGGTTTCTTCTTATCCGGCGATTAATCTTTGGAGAGGTGTGAAAACTGTTCAAGGTTGGTCTGAGAACGTTTCAGTTTTCTCCTCGTCGGATTTTGCCCATTTTCCTGAAGGCCTTCTAATAGGAGACATAAATGTGTGTAACTGGTCTTTTGATTTGTTTGATAGTTCTCAATAATGAATAATCTGTTGCTTCTGTCGGACTCAAAGTTTTGAGATATTCCTGCGGTTATATGTTTTTTTCTTCATATAACATTTTTTTCAGTGCTTTTGATCTTTGTTTACTTTTGTCTTTCTGGTACCTTTTTAATGATCTCTTTTCTTGGATTTTTTGAACTATTACATTGGCATTGGTTTGCTGTGTTTCATTGTTATTTATATTAGTAGAACATTGGTGAATAGCTTTAGTTAGAATTAAGTTGAGTGAATCGATACTGCTTTCTATGTAATTGGCTGGTTAAGAAGAACGTTACACGATATACATTCCTCGATGAAGTGAGTATATTTTTCGACTTTAATGTGGTTGTTTACAATATTAATTACCTGAGAGGTTAGAGTAATTAATATCGGTGAGTGATTTGATATTAAGTCTAAACATGATAATACTTCATAATAATTTTTATTTATTCCTTTGACTATTGCAAAGTCGATCAAATTCGGAAACTTGTTTGAGTCTGTTTCTAGTATGTTGGATCTCGAATGGATATTGGAAAATAGTTGTTTATTTGTGATATTTCGTATAGTACTTTGCCTCTGTATGTTGGGGTTAGTGACCTTGAACCCCACCACGAATGCTTGGAATTATAATCGCCTCCTATTCTAAAGCGATTTCCTAATATGTTGAAAGAGAATGCATAAATCCCTCCAAAATTATTATCTTTGTCTCAGAGACGACGGAATTGTTAAAAAACGATAAGATATGCGGAATATTTGAAAAATAAATAATTAAATAAGGACTAATCTAAATAAGTCACCAAAGGTAAATAATTTTTTTTTAGATCGCAGCGTGCACGGAAAGCACATTCTTCAATATTTATATAATTTCATCGAAAACTATATTGAAAGGAGCATCTGGGCAATTATCAGAGAGTTTTCCTTTTGGGTAACTCTATAATGTTTATTGTAATATTTCGTGTAGTACTTTGCCTCTGTATGTTTGAGTTGGTTGGTACTGTGAATCCCACCACGGATACTTGGCATTATAATCGCCTCCTACGTGCTGTAAAGCGATTTTCCAATGTGTTAAAAAAGTCTGTCCATTTTTCTTTTATAATGTTTTATTTGGAGGACAGTGAATAGCTGATATTGTTATTGGTCCGGCCATTGTTAGTTTTCCTTGACGATTTCACTGGTTGCTTGTAGGTAGATTTCACTAGTGTGGATATAATGGTTTATTTTTGTTTTGATTATAATTCAGTACTTCCGTGTACTTTATTAACCGGGGGATTGGTTTTATGTACAGTGTAGTTTGGTATATTAAGATAGTTTTCACTTGTAAAGTGTGTTTCTGATATCAACATGATGTTTCTATTTTCATAGATTAAAAATTTTTTTAATTCGAGGTACCTTTGCATATAACCGTTTGCGTTTCAGACAGCGAGTTTTAGACTGTTCATTATACCATTTGTTTACTATTATAGATATAATATTCAACATAGTATCCATTCTCTGTATCAGCTGCTCCATCATATGTTCGAATTTGTTACTTGTGTTTACTTCGTTGATATGTCTGTTACGCTCTGCTTGAACAGCTGTTTGTATTGTTATTTCTATCTCACTCTGATCATTTTGTTTTAATGTTACTACATACCAATTATACCAACTATATATCAATTTCTATGGAAGAGCCGTCATACTAGCAACATATATAAATAAGCTATTAGATTGATAGATTCTGCAATTTTAAAAAGTATAAATAAGAAATTCATTGAAGTAACATCAAGCTTGGATTTAAATCATTCGCCAGTTGTTATTAGACTGAAATCACAAGTACTCAAAACAGTAAACAGTTATAAGAAAACGGTCTGGAAAAAAATTTGATTCATACATTGATAATATAGCTCTTCAATCAGAATTATATAGAAAACAATATTATAACCCTCAAGTAACTACTAACAAAAGCCCAAGATAAATGCTTTGTTACTGCAAACACTAAGGAACCTCAGCAATTTACTTGTAATAAGGTAGTGAAAAAATCAAAGAAAAATGAACATTAAGAAAAAGATACCAAAAAACCAAATCAAGTAAAGATAAAGCTAAACTCAATAAAGTATTTAAGGATTTAAAGAATATTTTCTATTAAGAAAAACGATGCTAAAAAAAATTAGAGAACTATGTTCAACAGAAAGAACGGATTACTCACTATAGACAGTTATCAAGAAATTTAAAAGTTTAGATATATTTATTGCACCTATCAGAAAATACAGAAATTTATAGGAAATGGACTAGAACCAACGAAGAAAAAATCGATACGTTTGCTAATCACCTTTACACTGTATTTAAAACATACCAAAGAATTATAACAGAACAAGAAAAAATAATCTTGCTGGAAGACCGTGATATATCGTACAAGAACATACATCTGTTGAAACAGTTAAAATAAAGGAAGTATTACTTCTAATTGACATATTAATAACAGAATACCATTGAGTTTTGATAATATTTCAAATGATTAAAAAGATACTAATAATAGCGATAAGACACTTAACAATTATTTTTAATGCATGCCTACGTCTATGCTGTTTCCACACTCAATGGAAAATAGCACAGGTTATATTAATCCCAAAACCCGGTATAAAAGCTAAACTAGTGACCTAATATAGACCTATTAGTTTTCTACTAATACTTTCAAAGTCATGGAAAAAATTATATTAGCCAATATCAACTCAATAATAATAAAAAATAAAAAATTCATTCCAGATCACCGATTTGGTTTCAAGTGCAAACACTCTAAGAAAGAACAGATAAACAGGATAGTAGCTGCTGCAAGAAATCTGTCGAAGAAAAACAATACTACACCAGCATTTTTCTTCACCCAGCAAAGAAATTTGACAAAGTATGGCATAAAGTACTTCTGTATAAACTAAAAAGATATTTCCCAAAAAGATATGTAGTTACTTTAATCTTA